TCCCTACATGTTGTGCTGTATCACACAGAGGTGGGAGAAAGGAGCATTTTCAGAACAAGGACAGAGATAAGGGCTAGAGCAGCTCTGCTCTGGAGACAGGCTGAGACAGTTAGGGGTGTTCAGCCTGGAGAAGAGAAGGCTCCAGGGAGACCTTAGAGCACCTTTCAGTGCCTGAAGGGGGGGAAAATGGCTTTAAGCGGAAAGAGGGTTGATTTAGGTTGGGTATCAGAAATTCTTCACTGTGAGGGTGGTGAGACAGGTTGCCCAGGGAAGCTGTGGCTGCCCCCTCCCTGGAAGGCCAGGTTGGATGGGGCTTGGAGCAACCTGGTCTAGTGAGAGGTGTCCCTGCCCATAGCAAGAGGGCTGGAACTGGATGATTTTTAAAGGTCCCTTCCAACCCAAACCAATCTGGGATTCCCTGATTTTATACTTTATATAGGCCCCTCAGCAAGCATCCCAATAAGGACTACAGTCCCACCATCCTAGGTATTTTAGAGACCTACAAAAGCTCAAATTTGAAGGCAGCACAGATCCTTGTGCTACCTAAAGGAGTTCTGCATGATGCATCAATGCACTTAATTTCTACTACACCAGCTGGCATTTGATTAACCAGTTGACTCCATATTCATTTTTGGCACAGATCTTTCACTTGGCCTTTTGACAATTTCCCCTGCCTAACAGTTCCCAATTTATTGTAACTCAGGGAGGTAACAGCTTTGGTCTCCAGAGCATGTAGTTCAGTACCTTAAAGAAAGGAGAAATTCATGGAGGACACTGAAACAAAATGTGATTCTGGAAAAAAAAAGAAAATCAAAGCCAGGCAAAAAGAAGGAGAGGAGGGACTGTTAGTGCTCACATGAGAATGGATACCCAGGTAGAGCTTTTGCTCTCTGAGCTACAGAAAGGCTCATTAGAGGGCTCCACTCAACTCTCTTAACAACAGGCCTTAAGTCAGAAAATTTGAGTCCCTTTATTTTAGCATGGTCATAGTCTCTGGAGGAGGCAATTGCAAAGTTTGGTCCAGCTGGAGAAGGGCTTGCTGTTCTGCATGGCATTCACTGGCTTAATGTTAAGAGGCCTGCTAATTGATGGTGATGAGAGCCTGGAAAAGCTACAAGTTGTGAAAAGCATTTGCAACAGAGTTTGTAGCACACAAGAAAGGAAAAACAAACAACCCAAACTATTCTTTTCTCTTCCAGTAGAGTAAAAACTTGGGAGGGAGCTGAGCCAGAAAAACAGCAGAACTCCCTCCAGAGCTGAACTAAGTCAGATTTAGATCAAGCCATAAGATTATCTGGTTGCCTCCACTGGCTCTCTGAGCATTTTCTCTGCAGCAGAGAAGCTCTAAAGCTTTGTGAGAGGAAGGCTTAATCAATGTAACTCCATGAACACCTACTTGGGAAGTGTTTAATCTCCCTCCTCAAGGCTGGAGATGATCCATTTGGCAACCACCTAAGTGGTTGCACAGGCAACAGAAGGAAAATATTTATTGTATTTTGTAAGCAGTGAGAGGGAGAGCTTGCACTGTGCCAAACCAGCTTGTCAGACACCAGGCTTGTCTCACAGAGCACACGACAACAACACAAGTTACAAAAGTCTCTTGTGTACCAGACAGTCAGAACTCTTTCTCTAAGGTATGTTTTCTGGGGATCTGCTCTCAAGCAGGTGAGGGAATAGAGAGAGGCTGAATCAAACAGAGTTAGGACTGTTAGCCCTAAGTCCCAACATTTTGGCTGAAATGTGGTTGAAGATTTCTTTCTTTAAAAGAGAAAGGCATAAATGATGGAGCAAAGTTATCTGGTGAGCAAGATGGAACCTAAAATCCGTGGTTTTATGATGTATTTTGTATCAATAGATCTGAGCTCAAGTCTTTGATACTCCCTAGGTTAGTTTAAAATATTTGCAATACTGCAAACATCAGCCAAACCACCCCTCCTGAGATGACAAACCACTACTGCACTTCTTGAAAATCACTTGACAGTTTCCTGGAAAACAACTGTCTCTGGATGCAGCCAAAAGCATCAGCAACACATCCCAGGGTTTGATATCCTTGGACATATTACATATCTAGGGAAAAAAAAAGCAGACTCTACAATACAAAAAAAAAAGCAAGAGTCTGATAATAAAATATGTTAATACGATGACAGTGTGAGTACAAGAGCACATCTTTTTTCCCATCCCCAAGGCAAAACATAATTTTCCATGGAATGTTTTCCCAAAAAAGGAAGAGAAAAAAACAACCCAAATCAATCTGTGAGTACTGCAACCCAAAGAATACAGAACAACTTATGATAATCCACAAAGATAAGCTGTTTTCCTTACCTGAGATGCAGGAGGAGACAATAACTCTGATTTTAGTTCCTTTAATGTCTGCAGTAAAGAGGCTACAGCTTCATCATTTGATGCAGACCAATCGTTAACTGTTCTGTTAAACAGAAACACTTTTTCAGTACCAGGCTGATTTACAGTCATGTTGATATACATTTGATTCCTTCTCCCCACTCTTAAGTTTTAAGGCTGCATTTATGCACTATTCATCACACAAAATATTAGGAACACCCACAGAAATTAGCAAGTTTTGTTAATTTTAAGAGTAGATTTTCTAAATTATGCCACACAGGGTTTATTCAAGTGTCTCTATTTCACACCAGTCTGCAATTCTATCATGCAAATTAAGGCTGCACCAAAGAAATAAGAAATCACTGCTACTTGGCCATGCATTCCTGACCCCTAGCTTTTCCCTGCCATGCTGAATGGAGTTTCCCATTCTAATCCTGTAGATGTCTCAATTAGCCTGTTTTTTTGATTGCTGTCTAATTAGACTGCTGCAGTTGCCAAACTACCAAACAACTCTACAGTAGGGGTTTTTTTTGCAGTGGTTCTTTTTAAGCAGGACCACTTCAGATACAGCTCCAATGCAGGCACACAAGCTTCTCGTGGGAATGGCTGCAGTGCCATGACAATAACTAGAGCCTGTTGCCACCACAAAACCATAGTTTCACACAAGGCTGAGTCTTGTGAGCAGATATCCTGCCCACTCCCTTCAGCACAGGGCTCTCAGTCATGATCCACACAAGCTCAGAAGCAGAATGGAAAGAAAACTGCTATTTTATGAACAAATACTCACTTATCTACAGTTTTATATACGAACTCATTCAGGTGCACAGCTACAAAAACCAACTGCTGCCTTATCTTCTCTAGCTGCTCTTGCTGCTGTTGCAAATGTGGTTTTTCAGTTTCTTTTGTTGTGGGCTGTTTGGCAGTTCGATCTTTGTTCAAGGGACACAACACTTCTTGCTGATGGTTTGGAAGTGGGAGGTTTCTTTCTCTTTCTTCCAACACTGCCAGGATTTCCTGCAGCTCTTTAATTCTTTCTTCATCTCTCTGGTGTTGCCGCTCCAAGTTTTGCTGTTTGAACACAATAAGCAGTAGACAACTGCATCTCACACGTGCACACACAAATATATACACACATACTCACACAGAAGTGTTTTCTGGGTTTGTTTGGTTTTTATACACACACAGACTGCAAAAAAAAGGAGTCCCACCTCATTAGCATACCTATCTCAGTGCTCCTCAACCCACATTCCACTTACAGGGGAAGGCTCACAGTACTGCCTTCCAGAGCCATCAGGAAGCCATTTAATGGCTTTGGAGTGGACATTTTCTCCATCCATTTCCAGATGTGGCCACTGACAAGGCTCAGGAGAGCCTGCAAAGCCTCCCTCCTCCTCCAATGAAAGTGAAGGAGCTGAGAAAAGGAAGGGTGAAATTGATACTGTCACAAACCATACATAGGAGCTTAGCTGAAAATAAGGGCAGTGCTGTGAAACCAAGTTTGGTTCCATTCTATATTTGTAATGGATGGAGAAGCCATGTTCTTCTCTCTCTGTTAACAACCAGCAGCTCCCAGCACAGGCAAAGATGTAAAGATCAACTTCCAGCAACACCAAACCCAGACACAAACCCCTGACAACAGCTGTGTTTGAGAAATGCAGGAAGAGAGCTCATCCAAGGCCTTTTTCAGGCTTTTTGCTTTGTTTAAGGGGAGCAAACATTTCAATTAAACCCCACCATCCACAGGGTTAGATCCCAGCCTGCAGCTGTCTTAGCATCAGGCAAGGCTTGCAGAGACATTCTTACCAGCCTCTCTCGATCTCTCTGCCAGTCCTTCTGTTTCTCCAGCTCTGTTTCTTGCTGCTGCCTTCGCTCCCTCTCTCTCTCCTCTTTCTTGCTTTTATTTTGCTCCTCCAGCATCTTCAAGAGCAACTGCAGTTGTTCCTCATCAGTTTTCAGCTTCACCTCTCTCTCCTTCTGGGCCTCGAAGGAACGGGTCATCTCTTGCTTTTGACCCTGAAGGGCCTCCAGTGCCGCTCGCAGTTTGTCACTGACCTCCCTCTCCCTCTGGGTCTCTTGGCAGCACATCTGCACTTCAGTCTCCAGCTGCCTTCTGGAATGAAGGGCCTTCTGGTGCATTTTCTCAATAACAGCAGCTAGCTCCATACTTCGGGACCTCTCCTCTTCCAGCTGGGCTTGGAGCTCTCGAACAAAGGCCTGTTCCAGCAGCGACTCCCTGTGCTGACAAGAAGCACCTTCTTTCACTCTCATGCTCAACTGCTCCGTCAAAACACGCTCGTGGTTCAATGAATTCAGGAGCTCCAGTGAACGATGTTTCTCAGCATCCAGGTCTTTCTGGAGCTCTGAGAGTTTGGTCTGTTCCTGGGCCAGCAAGGCTTCGCAGCGGGAGTGCTCGATCTGCAGCTCCTTGCGGAGATTGTCGGTCACCACCTGCTGGTGCTGCAGGGACACCATCAGCTGGCTCTTCTGCACCGACTGCAGCTCCAAGGCAGCATTCAGCTCCTGTTCAGAAGGGGAGGCACACTTTGATAATCCTGCCCAAACACTCATCTGTGGAGCAGGCTGGCATTCAGCAACCTTCACCCTCCTGTTCTATCCAAGGCTGAGCTAGAGTTCAGCTGTTACAAACTTTCATCTACAATTACAAGTCTAATTTTCTAATTACAAGTGCCAGAAGTCTGCTTGTTAGGCATGTGACACCAAGTGACAAAACCTGAGGTTCTACTGTTAAAATATCTGCTGGTATATTATTTTTCTTCAATTGATAAGACCCTCATTAGGAAACCACTATTCTATACATCACTCCATTCCCTTAATAAGTGACATCTGAAGCAGAAATAACCCATGTTGATTTAAAAAGAACCAAAAATCTAAGCAGTAAGAGAAGATGCAAAGCCTCTGGATTTTAGAACCCACCTGTTTGAAGCAAATAAAAATAGTCCATCCCTAGGTCCATTTTGGGAGCCAACCTTTCTTCAGGACAGGGAGCACCTGCAGCCAGTCCCAGGGTGCTTACAGTCAGGGCTAGCAGTGCTGTCATCCTGGCAGAGGGGTCTGCCCTATCTCCCCTGCCAGGACCACTTCTCCTCTGACCTCCTAGAAAGCCAAGTCAGATGCTCAGTGGCATCAGCTTTCCATAGGAAAGCTTCAAGGCAGGATTTTGGAATGCAACAATGTGAACTGTGAACACTTCAACCTGGTGTACAATGACACCTGTGGCAATGAGCTTTTCCCTTTGCCTTAGCTGAGATGGTCCCTGCCTTCCCTGCATGACCAGTCTTCTTAAAAGATGTTAGCACCATGTCCTACCATGCAGGTAGTAACAAAAATCCCAGCAGACAAAAACCATCTACCTAAACACATACCAGAAAGAGGACATGAGAGGTCAGACTACAAGGAAATAGGTCAGAATTGTGTTTCCTCACTTAGGGTTTTGGAGTTATCTGATAGAGTTTGGCTTTGGTTTCTAAGATTAAAGAAAAGGTTGTCTTCTTCCTTTTCCAGTCAATCTAGGCCTTTTACAAGAACTGTCATTGCAGTGTCAAGAGAGAAAGCTGTTCAATTATTTGCTGTTCAGTTCCGAAATAAGGGAACAAAACCAGAATACTACCAGGTACTGGGACCGGTGTTGTTCAACATCTTCATCAACGACCTGGATGAGGGTATAGAATGTACCCTCAGCAAGTTTGCTGATGACACTAAGCTGGGAGGAGTGGCTGACACACCAGAAGGCTGTGCTGCCATTCAGAGAGACTTAGATAGGTTGGAGAGTTGGGCGGGGAGAAACATGATGAAATTCAACAAGGGGAAGTGCAGAGTTTTACATTTGGGGAAGAACAACACCATGTCCCAGTACAGGTTGGGGGCTGAACTGCTGGAGAGTAGTGTAGGTGAAAGAGACCTGGGGGTCCTGGTAGACAGGAGGATGACCATGAGCCAGCAATGTGCCCTTGTGGCCAAGAAGGCCAATGGCATCCTGGGGTGCATTAGAAAGGGTGTGGTTAGTAGGTCAAGAGAGGTTCTCCTCCCCCTCTATTCTGCATTGGTGAGGCCACATCTGGAGTATTGTGTCCAGTTCTGGGCCCCTCAGTTCAAAAAGGACAGGGAACTGCTCGAAAGAGTCCAGCGCAGAGCTACGAAGATGATTAGGGGAGTGGAACATCTCCCTTATGAGGAAAGGCTGAGGGAGCTGGGTCTCTTTAGCTTGGAGAAAAGGAGACTGAGGGGTGACCTCATCAATGTTTACAAATATGTAAGGGGTGAGTGTCAGGGAGATGGAGTTAGGCTTTTCTCAGTGATGACCAGTGATAGGACAAGGGGTAATGGGTGTAAATTGGAGCATAGGAGGTTCAAGGTGAATATTCAGAAACATTTTTTTACTGTGAGAGTGACAGAGCACTGGAACAGACTGCCCAGGGAGGTTGTGGAGTCTCCTTCACTGGAGACATTCAAAACCCACCTGGATGAGTTCCTGTGTGATGTACTCTAGGTGACCCTGCTCTGGCAGGGGGGTTGGACTAGATGATCTCTCGAGGTCCCTTCCAGCCCCTAAGATTCTATGATTCTATGATTCTATGGTTAACCTCCAAAAATACATGTTATCTAGGAAAGGCCCCAGGTGTTTTCCTTATAACCTCAATTGATCATACCCATCACATCATCCTGGTAGCACACTTGCCCTGGCATAAAGGATGCAAATTACACAGCTGTAGAACCTGGCTCTCCTACACAGTGCAGGGCAGTACAAAACTGGTTAAAATGTGAAAGCATAAGGCTCTGAAAACACTAATAAGATATGGGGGGGAGGAGAAAAGCATACAACTCCTCCTATTTCTGCATCTGCAATTAAGGAGGGTAGCTGAAAGCTTTAATTCTCTGAAAACAAAATACATGCTGTCCATGTTCAGTAGAAGTTTGGGTTTTTTAAAACACAGTTATAAACAAAAAATACCGGACGTGAAAAAGACAGCAAAAATGACTTGCTAGTTAACTCCATGCACCAAGGGAGGTGAACTGAGGAGTCATTACCTCCAAAGCCTTTGTCTTTTCATCTTCTGCTTTCTTATGCTGAAGGTGCTGCTCCTCCAACAGACCCTGTAGCTCCGTTTCCTTCAGCCGTTCCGCCCCTAAGTCTTCAAGTGCAGCTGCCAAATCCTTTTCTTTTTTTTCCAATTCAAACCTGCAAAGTTCAAAAGGACACCTCTATCTGTCTTCAGAACAGAACATCCCTCACCAACAACGCGGGCAAGACATTTTGGGTTACTTTTTGTTTCTTTAAGATGGGCTCTGTTCATTCTAAAGAGGGTCAGTTTCCCAGTCGCAGCTATTTGGCGTATGAAAATGTTTACTTCCCTGCAAGCAAAGCTAGAACTAGTCTATGTAGAATCAAGAGATCTGGAGAAGTCAGCTATCCTGGCAGAGCAGAACTATTGTCCTGTGAGAGGGAAGAAAAACATTGGCATGCACGAGGAATAAGGAATATGGGCAGGCAAGGGAAGAATAAAGAAAAACAAAGCACAGACAGGGTGACAGGCAGCCAGAAGTGCCAACCAAGGGACTGAGACAAAAGCTGCAGGAGTGGGTACATCTAGTCTGTTCACTTGTAATACACCCCTACAACATGCACGTGTTTCCACAACCTTCTCAGTCTAGGCTACAGAAAAGGTAAATATGAGAATTGGAATTGAAAAATACTTTTTAAGCAGGTAGCAAAGAAAAATGAACATATCTGTGTAAAGTGAGAGAGGTTAGTTTTCCTGACTGTGTTTCCAAGTGCTAAGCCATTTTTGGATCCAATGATCTAGATAAATGGATAGATAGAGCTTTTTAGACCTGGTGTTAATTAAAATAAATTAGTGTCTGCTTCTCACCGTAACTGGTTTATTTCCCTCTGAAGGTCTTCAAGGGATTTCTGCAGCCTTGTGTTCTCTTGCTTACTTCCATAAAGCTCTGATTTCAGGGCTGCTTTTTCCTGGTTCAAGAGATCTTGTGTTTCAGAGGCTTTTTTCTGCTCCTCAGACAGGGTGCTGTGCAAGTCACTTGCAATAGATTTTTCCTGGTGAAGTTTATATTCTAGCAATTCAACTAGGAAAAGAAAATGTTAAATATTCTTTTTATTACAGATAACTTGACACTGGTTCAAACTGGGGAGGAGTGTGTTTGTGTGAGAGGGGAATCAGCTGTAATTAAGAATTCTCTGGGGAACTCCTTTATTTTCAAACATGTTGAATCAGCAGAAAGATGCACATACACACTGCCAGTAGACCAGGCAAAGTAAGAATAGCATGAAAGCTGCTTGAGATTATCAGAACTACTGCAATATACTGCAACTAACTTGTTCCTAATGGATTCTAAACCTCATTAAGCAAATCCACCCATTTACTAGCAAACAATTAATATATTAAAAGAATTTCCTAAAAACCAACAAGGGTATTTCACTATCCTTGCTGAGTTCTCTACATGAACACATGTAACCAAGAGTCACCCTTCAGTTCTGTTGTTTTGGGTTATTTTAAAACTTCTCTTTGCTTTTCAGAGGGTTTTTTTTTAAACTACTAACACAGAAAGAAGAAAAGAATCCTTCCTCTGCTAAAATCCTAGGGAACCTCAGTGCATTAGTAAAACTGAACAGCATCTGCCTCTTTGCAAAGCAATCTTATTTTGCCTTTTATCTCCTGAGTGAAAAAAAAAGGAAAGAACTGACACAGAAGCAGAGATAACAAGAGGTTGATGACTACCACCTTTCCTCCGAAGCTGGTGTTCCTGTTTGCTGCCATGATCTTCTGCATTGGTGAGGGTCTCCTGCAATTGCTGCAGCTTCTCCTGGTTCTGCAGGTGCGTCATGCGCAGCTGAGCTCGCAGGTCCTGGATTTCAGACAGCAAGCTGTTCCGGTCTGAGGAGAAGAGGTGCTCCACAACCATCTGCCTCTGTTCCTCCTGAAAATGAACCAAGGGCTAGTGAATCTACAAGGCTATTCCCATCCATCCTACAAGGTAGATCCTAGAGAAATCCTTGCAGTATATGTTTTATATGGAGGCAACTTCAAATTACTAGGTTTGTCCTTTATGTTAACATTAAGTAAAAAAGAAAAACCCTACTTCACTAGATTACAAGAAGAGTAACAGTTATTAATAATAGTTTATACATCCTAGTTATGACAAACTATCTGGTGTGAACCTAAACCACAAATATTATCAGAAAAAAAAATCCAAAACCAATTCAGAGTTTGCTCAGCTCCCTTGGCAAGAGAAGTCTGTGAAGCTCTAAATGGAATTTTCTCCCTTCCTTCCCTTTCTATCAAACATTTCCTTGTCACTATCACAATCTCTAGGCCACTATATTTTCTGGGTGCCAGTTAAAATAACCAGCAGGCTTTGCATCACAATGTACAAAGTTTGAGAAAACCAGTACCAAGACACAGACTATAAAAGCCTATTGAACCCACACAGCCTGGATTAATGCACAAAATATAACAACAGAAGCAACAAAACCCTAAAAACCTTTCAAAAACATGAGGCAGTAGAAGAAGTTCTTTATGAGCATAACACTTTAAGAGGTTTTCTTACTTGTTGTTTCATGATATACTCAATTTTTTCCAGTAATGAACTGTCATCACCAGAGCCAAGACTAGAGAAGCGAGACTTGAAGTCAATTTGCAACATGTTTCTCTCCTTCTCAAGCACACTCTGCACTGCTTGCAGAAGTTCTCCTCTCCAGTCAGCAGCAACACTGGAATGTTCCTGTTAAAAAGAAAGGTATCTTGTCCTTAAATGGCATCTCTCTCAATCTCTAACCCACTGTAACATGTATCATTGCTGTGTATGAGTATACCTAGCTGTTAATTTAAGCAGACCAAAGGTGTTTAAAGAGACCTCTTAACATCTCAGAAAGAAACTCAGCCCTTGCTCCTCACACATACACACACACACACAGACACTAACTAGATAGCAATATACTTTTCTATATATAATAAAAGAACTGGATACCTTGCTTTAAAGGCTATTTTTATTGCCATACCTTGTCTCCTCTGTCTGCCACCTTGCTAAGGAAATCCTTCAGTGACTGAATGGCATCCAGCAGGGCTAGGCCCTCCTTCTGCCACCCCTCCACTGCTGCTCTGCTCTGAGGCACATTTTGCAGCTCCCTAAAACCAAAGGGATGCTCTGACAAAGCCAGTATTTTGCGGCTCTCCTCATAGACCATCTTCAGAACAGTCTGAGAAAGAAAAAAAACACAACCAATGCATAATATTAGGAAAGAGGCATCAGCATCCTGGCAGTGTAAGAGCAGGGAGAGCACCAGACAACAAAAAGAAGGCCATCTGAGGCTGTGGTACAGGTGAAAACTCACAGGTCTGCCCTGCTATTCGGCATGCTTCATAAATTAAGAACACTCATCCCCACACCTGTGTGCAGAGTGAGCCAACAGTTCCCAGAGAATTTTTATCTCCTAACATCTCAGGCCAGTATTTGAGAATACAGCAGCCACTGTCTTCTTAAATCCTGCAGCAAAAATGGCAGCCACGGCCAGAGCATTGTACTGCTGTGGACATTAACATGCTACTGTGCAATTAAGTCCTGTGATTAGGACTGTACTTTATCCTTGCTGTTTCTGAACTATTTAGATTCTATGAAGTCTGAAGCCATGTCACACTAAACCCCAGTGATAGCAGAAACCTGAATTACTTATTAGGACAACCTTGGCTTAATTTAGCAGATTATGGAGAAATAACATCTCCCAAAATAATCAGTCTTAGTAATTTACACAGTGGAAATTGTTTCCTCTGACATTCCAGGCAAAGTAGTATCTTTTAAATAAATTCCCTGTTGACAAACTATTACATCATGCACAGATGTTTCCTGGTCTCTTTTCAAGGAAGGTCACTGGAGGTTGAGTCCCTTTCTACATACACATCCCAGCCTCGACCTGGAACTGCTTCTGATGCTACTCATTGTAACAACAACAACAACACAGAGTATTGAGCTTTAACTCTTCATATTCCTTCTTTGCGCTTTTTTGAATGACTTAACTTTGGAACAAACTTGAGTGGCTTTTCTGTCACTGGAATCAAAATGGTGGTAATGCCAAGAGCCAATGTTATGCAATGAAAAACTTTAGTAAACACTAAGAACAGAAGCACAATAAAGGGTTCAAACTAAACATTCAGTACTGGAATATGCACTCAGATCTTACAGACACTAAAGTCCAGATTGATGATCCAATCCAAAACCTTGAGTACAGCATCCAGCTACACAGCCCAACATTCATGTCCTGCATCTTGGACCCCTTCCTCTGACTGGGAGGCTAGAGAAGAACACCATCTGTGCTCCAAATTCTTTCAACATTGATTGGAGGGACATACAGTCTCTCCTTTGATGGTTCCAGGCTGCCTTGTTACAGTATTGTTAGACCCTACACAAAACACTAGAAGCAGATGATAATCTGTAGGGCTCAGCAGTCTTGGCAGCCTCTCAGTGGTTATCATGAATACAAGCTCTTGGTAAGCAGCAAACTTCCCTAGAGACACTGTTTGGGCAGCCAATGGGTGCTTCAGTGACTCTCAGTAAGGAACCTCCAATTACTACTACTTTGTGCTTTTCTGGTGGCACTGGTTCTAATACAAGCAGGTGGTTGCATCAGCTTTGCATGGTTGGCTTTTCCTGGATCATGTCAGTAACTGAATGTGCTCTTAATTCTCCAGCCTCAGAACATCAAGCCTGTTATGAAGGGGCACTTCAGAGCTTCCTCCTCCTGCCCCAGCAGAGGTTAAAGGTCCAGTGTCCTTCCCCCTGTGAGTTCCTTGAGTCAGGCTTACATTCCCCTTGCACAGCCTTCCTTCATTGCACAGTTCTTTCATTTTGGTGAGCAAGCTGAAAGAATCACATGTTACAAAGTGAATGCTGCTTCCTAAGGAAGTGTACTTCTTCCACTTCTTATTACTCAAGCTCCTTCAGGTATTCAAACTCCCTGGAGGCTACTGCACTTACCCAGGTACTTCTCACAAGCCTCACAGATGAGATGATTTGGAGCACTGAATTTTTCCCTTTCACCAGCTAGAATTCCTGGAATGGCTAAGAGCTTGTTCAGCTGCAACACCAAAGAGCCCCTGGCATATATTTTCTTAAACTTGCCTTGCTGACTAGAACATGCAATCACTGCTCAGTCTTCTGTATATTCTTCACGCTCCTTGAACTGACTCTGAAAGATCCCTCCACACCTTTTAGTGGTGTTTCCACAGCTCTCCATCACATCAAGAATGCCAGGAATATACAGGGGAGCAGGATGTCAGCTAGCTAAGCTTTTTTATCAAACAGCTTTCTGTAAAGCCTTCAAGACAAACCCACATAACAGATCAATCAGTCTTTGTACTGCCATATTCTGGAACATCACCAGTGCCAAACTTTTTCAATTCCAGCAAGTTCAAGCAAGACAAATGTCAGTAAATCTGTCACGAGACATCCAAAAATTACTCAAGAACCATAATCAACTTGAAGTTTAAACCATTACAGAACAGTTTACAGTGTAAAGGTAGCAGCTAACTCTATTTTATATTAGCATTTCATTTTGCTGTTTTCATTTACTGGTATACTTTTATTAATCATATATTACCTTCATCTGTGGTGAAAGTATTTCCATCTGTCTCACCGACTCCTTGATATCTGGAAACATTCCACGATGCTGCAGATAAGCCACAAAACCAGCATCAAGGTGCTCTGATGTTTGTAGCTCCTGCTTGAGTTTAGCTGCCACATTTGAGGTGGTATCTGGAAAAAGAGACAGCCCCCCACAAGTGTTACAAAGATGAAAAGAACTCGAAACCAGCCTAACCTCTTGCAAAATAACCATAATTTCTTCTGCTAGTTTGAATGCAGGGTCAGGTGAAGTTAGTGGGTTGAGATCTCAACTAATTTAAACAAGTAAACATGTTGTAAGTTGCCTTTAGGAGCAGAGAAAGCACTGTAGTTGTCAGGACACCCTAAACCCCCATGTCTCCCTTCCAGTACATAAAGGTGAAAAGGCAAAAGCAGACTTCCACTAGCACAAATACACGTCCTTCCTAAACAAAGAACCACCTGAGAAAGGCTTAGCTTTCAAATAAAAAATCTACAGTAAAAGAAAATGGGAGAAAGGGAGAACATTTTAGTATTTTTATCCTGAAGATCAGAAAAGGTGAAAGGAATTTAGAGAGTTAAACTTACAGCTGCCACATCCATCATCCATCGCACCTATGGCAGATGCTCTTGATCTTACACCATGTTGTAAACCAGGAGGGGTTAAAGTTAGATGATCAGCTTCCCTCATCTGCATGGAAATAATTTTTTTCATTGATTGAGTTACCTAAATCCAGCTGTAGAGTTTTCTGCAATTATAACCTTTCTGTTCCTGGTGTAGATTTTAGCAAATACTACTTGATCACAGTGCTAGAGATGGTAAATCCCACTAGGAATGTCAC